GTAATCCCAGTTACTAGGGAGGCCAAGGTGGGAGGATTGCTTCATCCCAGGAGTTTCAAACCAGCCCGGGCAACCTAGGAGAGCCCTGTCTCTACAAAAATAAGAAAATCAGATGGGTCTAGTGACATATGCCAGTACTTCCAGGTATTCTGGAGGCTGAGCTGGGAAGATGTCTTTGTCCTAGAAATTTGAGACTACAGTGAGCTTAGATCACATCACTGCACTCCATTTGGGGTGACAGCAAGGTTCCACCTCACATAAGGAAAAAAAATACCATTTACTAATATTATCTCTATTTTACATTTTAGTTTTTACAAAAAAACTGGACATAATGCACAGCTGTAGTGATGGATGTGGATTTGAAATCAAAGATTTTAACGCCAGAAGTCTTACCCTTAATTACACGCTTTATCTTATTATTTGATATATCATACAAATTAATATTTACATATATCCATGTATTAATTATACACTAAGTATAGAATAATATGTAATTTTGAATAAACTAATGGTATATAAATGTTAATTACACACTTATGTCGTAGAATTGATCGAACAGAATATCTCACATGGTAACTGGTGCCCTGAGAACATCCATTGTCCTTCCTGTCCTCTCTGTGTGTGCACACGGGTGTCTGCACTTCCTCAAATTGACTTCTGTTTAAAGACCTTATATCCCAATATGATTTCATTTAGAGGGGCAGGAGGTTAGGACTTCAACATACGAATTTGGGGACACCGTTCAGCCCCTACCTATCACTCTGTCTTCCATGCCCCCACATCCATGTTTTTAATCACATTCATAATTCCTGCACCCCATCCCAGCAGCCCAAAAGTCTTAACCCATTCCAGCATCAACTCTAAGTCCAAAATCCTGTGTAAATATCACCTAAGTCTTACCAAGGCATGAGACTTGAGATGTGATTCATTCTGAGGCAAAATTCCTCTCTAGCTGCTAATCTGTGAAACCAGACATGTTACCTGTTTTCAAACTGCCCTTGTGGGACAGGCATAGGATAGATCTTCTCATTCCAAAAGAGAGAAATTTGAAAGAAGAAGGAGGTCATGGGTCCCCAGCACTCCCCAATCCAGTAGGGCCAGTTCCAGTAGCTGTTCAGGGTCAAGACTCACCTTCTTGGTCTCTGTCCTTCTGGCCAACTGGGGCAGGACAGGCCCTGACCTACTCAAGGTCCTTTGATGCTTTAGAAGCATTTGATTATTTTCTTTCATGGATCACCATTCCAGATACATTGGAAGTGTAGGATTTTGGAATAAAAATAAATTCTTGAACTCCATGCAAAATGTATTTCCATTTGTCTTGAGCTCAAGAGTTGGGATATGGGTAAGCTTTAACCACACGGGACCTTAAAATGTCTGATAGCAAAGTCTCTCTTCTCTCCTTTTTCCAGCTGACTCATTTGTTCAATTATGCCTTTGTTAGGAATAGTTTTCTAAACTAATTGCCCAGTATGTGAACACCCTAATTTTACAGTCCTTGCCCAGGTCAATGAGGGTTTGCAGGCCTGGCAGGAGTAGCTAATTAACCCAATCTCTGTAGATTGGACACCCTCCCTATGAAATTCAGAAAAGAAAGAAGTAAATGATTTCTCATCACTCAGGTAACCATCCCAGGATGGATCAACTCTTTCCACGTGCCTGCAGCCCACACCAGCACCGTTGATAAGAGACCCCCTAAAGAGGGGACAAGAGAAATGCTCTGGGAGATGAGCAATTGCATTTAATACACTCAAATCCTCCTTCATCCCAGCTGTTAGCACCCGTTGTAAGCACAACAAAGCCCTCCATGCATTCTGAGATATGTTAAACCAAATCATTGGCTTTTACCTTTTCTCATAAGCGGGTTTTTGTGAACCAAATAACACTCATCCAGCAGGGAGAAATTAGACATCTTGTTTTCTCTCATGACCTCAAAGGAGCTATTCTTGAGGACTAGACTGAGTTCTTCTGGCTCTACCTTCTTACCCAGGAACTGACAGATCTTCTCCACAGTTCTCTCTGTGTCCTAAAAAAGGGAAAAATAAGAGAGGATGTGAGAGAGAAAGGCAACAGAGAAACTAGGATGAGAAGCAGGATGAGGATGAGGAGAGGGAAGAAGAAGAGAGAAACAGGACACAGAAGGGAGAAGTGATGGAGTTGGATGCAACCAGGAGAAAGCAAGAGAAACAGGTAAAGAGAGAGCAGGAAGTGTGTGAAAGATGCCAGGATCCTGATGGATTTCTCATAGGGTTGAGTTAGGAGAACTTAGCAGTAAAAGACAGGGCCTCGGGTTTCTAGGGAGCCTTTGAGAAGGGCTCCTGGACAATGATTAGAATTAAAGAAGGAGAGGTTGTGGGAGAACTTGACAAAGATGTAAGGAATTGATTTTACATTTTGTCTAGGCCATCAAACAATACTGTTCCTTATAACTCACATGTGACTAATACACAGAGTTTTATAACATATTCTTATATAATATCTTCATAATTAGTACTTGGTACAAGATTCTGGGAGATTATAATAAAATAGCTTTTTATACTAGACAGACTTTGCTGTCAATCATAGACCTTTCTCTTAGAACTATAATGCTTTAAAATTTTCCTTTATTTCTTAAGTCCCAGTTGTTGTCCCACAAGAGGACACACAACTGTAGAAATAGCTAAAATTAAAGTTCAGTGTGTCCATTGAAAGGAAAATTCCAAGAAGGTATGGAATCATGGACCTGAGGCAGTTTATGTGTTTAAAAAAGGCTTTCTAATTAAAATGCGTTCATGCTGAGGCTGTTGGGGATTGGACAGAGGTGGGCAGAGGAAGGGGATGGGATGTAATGTGTCTCAGGTGGAAGAAACATCCAGTGTTTAGTCGCTTTCTCTTTCTCTAGGTTACCACTAATAGGTCAGGTTCTTTCTAGAATGGTCTCCTCACCCTTACTGGTTCTGAGGATCTGAATGCTCAGCTCTCGGCTCAGTGCATGGAATATGGGGGGGAAAGCACTAATCTTTTCAGCCAGAAGTAGAGCAATGAAGACTAGAGAGCTCATCCCACTCTCAGTGATTCTTCTCAAGGTTAAATTCTGACTGAGAAGGTGGAATAGAGAAATGGAAGGAAGAGAAATCAGGGACGTCAGAAGAAGTGACATTGGTGGTGAGAGGGTGTGCACTGACTATTCAGATGACAGTTACGTGTTTCAGCTCTTCATAACTCAGCATCAGGAAGTTCTCCCTCTCTCTCATGGACATCCAGGCACGAACGTGGTCAAACCATGACCCATATGGCACTGCATGGGGGGAGGCAGAGAGAGAGAGAGTTTAATTCAATCCATTAAGTTCACTCCCCCTGGCTTAAGATATATAATTGACAAATAAAACTTGTATATCTTTACAGTGTACAACAGGATATTTTGATCTATGGATGTATACATTGTGCAGTGATGAAATGGAGCTCTTTAACCTATTCATTACCTCACAGAATTACTATTTTTTTTTGCAGGTGAGAAGGTTTAAGATCTTTCACTTATCAATTTTCAAGTACATAATTCATAATATTAACTACAGTCAACATGCTGCACCATGGCCCTCTGGAAATTATTCATCTTGTTGAAGTGAAACTTTGTCTTCTTTGACCACTGTCTCCCTGATCCCACCACCCCAAACACACATATTTGTGTACACTGAGCTATGTATGTATATATGCATTTCAACATGTAGAAAAACCTTTGATCCACACAGGAGCTCCCATGAGCCCTATTTTTAGCTTTAACCAATATTGGTGAACTGTTATTATTATATTTTTTATAGCAAGAGGGATTTATTATTTGGCACAGTAAGGAGCACGTGGGAAACTTCTCAAAGCAGAGTTTCGTGATGTACTGTTTTGAATATTTTGTGCTACTAGTACTATTTTGTACTATTTAGAAAACTCTCACACATCACCATATTTCATCTTTACAGACTTCAGTGTGTCTCTGCAGACTAACATGTCACCATCAATTACATTATCACATCAAAAGCCCAGCACAATACTTCTTTATTATATTCTAATACCTAATCAGTATGCATTTTTCCTAGATTATTTTTTATAGAATCTCACTATGTCTCACTCTGTAGAGTGATGTGACATCACAGCTCACAGCAACCTCCAACTCTTGGGCTTAAGCAATTCTCTTGCCTCAGCCTCCCAAGATGCCCAGCTATTTATTTTATTTTATTTTGTTTTGTTTCATTTTATTTTATTTATTTTTTATGAGACAGAGCTCACTATGTCATCCTCAGTAGAGTGTTATGACATCACAGCTCACAGCAACCTCAAACTCCTGGGCTTAAACCATTCTTTTGCCTCAGCCTCCCAAGTAGCTGGGACTACAGGCATCCACCACAACGCCCAGCTATTTTTTGTTGCAGTTGTCATTGTTGTTTAGCTGGCCCTGGGCTGGGTTTGAATCCACCGGCCTCAGTGTATGTGGCTGGCACCCTAACCACTGTGCTGTGAGCGCCGAGACCTGGCTGTCTTTTTTAGAGATGAGGTCTCACTCTGGCTCAAGCTGCTCTCCAACCTGTGAGCTCAGGCGATCCACCCGCCTCGGCCCCTGCTAGGATTATAGGTGTGAGCCACTGCTCCTGGTCTCTACTCACTAAATTTAATAAGACTCCTGGTGATAGCAGAAGCACAGTCGAGACCTCTTTATATACCAAATAGAAAGCTCCAAGATAGCATGGAGGAGGGGAGCATTCTCTTCATGTCTGAGCTTCCAGCATGTGGTTTTACTCTTAGTGCTTTTCTGAAAGAGTAACCTGAACCAAGGTGGGACACATGGCTGCAGAGTTTAGGTGGAATTAATAGCAAAGATGACTGCCACACTTTGAAGATTAGACTTACTGGTGAGGGCAAGCAATCTAGGGATGTCGGTAAAGAGAAAACGAACTGTCCAGTGTTAAGTAGGTAACTGACATGTAGCCCAGAAGGGAAAAATGGTATACAGACAAAGATACCAATATGTGTTGTTATGTTAATCTAGATGAGAAGTAACAGTGGCTCTGGCTAATAAAGTGCCAATAGAAGCAGCAGTAAATGGCTATTAATTATCTTAAAAGATGTGTTCAGTGGTTAGTATATAATAGGAGTCATTCTAGGACATGGGGCCCAACAGTGAATATCCTAAGTATACATTTTAGTTTAGAGGAATGATCAAATAAATAAATACCTACTGGTGATGAGTATTACTAAGGAAAAGAAGAGTTTAGGCTCAAGTTATGAGGAAGGAGGCTATTTTGTATAGTGTTGTAATTCTAGGATATCCTGAATACAGTAGCATCTTATCAGAGACCAGAATGAAGATATTGATCAAGGTGGTGGGACTTGATTACTAATTAGAGAAAGAAAAGTGATGAGGGGCAAGGGGGAGTGAGGTGGGAAAAGGAAGATGCATGTGAAATGTCAGAATCATGCCAGCCCTCGGGTGAGGGGAGGGTGGATCTACTTACTGGGTGAGATTAACGTGCAGTATAAGTGGAGTGAGGAGAGATGCCCTTAGTCTTGCACAGGTTGAATTCACAGCCTCTGGAGGCAGATCACAGCTGAGACAGGGGACTCAGCAGGCAGGTTTGGGGGAAAATTGCCAAATTGTAAGTGCTTGAGAAAGCCCAGGGATTCTGCATAACTAAAAATATAGAGATTCCTGGCTTGGCCCTGGTAGCTCAGCAGCTAGGGCTCCAGCCACATACAGCAGAGCTGGTGGGTTCTAATCCAGCCCAGGCCATTTTTATTTAGAATAACAATGACAATTATAACGAAAAAATAGCCGGGCATTGTGGTGGGCACCTGTAGTCCCAGTTACTTGAGAGGCTGAGGCAAGAGAATAGCTTAAGCCCAAGAGTTTGAGGTTGCTGTGAGCTGTGATCCCATGGCACCCTCACGGCAACAGCTTAAGACTCTGTCTCAAAAAAAAAAGAATAGAGATTCCAGAGTCATGAAAACCTTTTTGAGACTCATAGAAACAAAGGATTAAGGGAATTTTGAAAAGAGGCATTTTCTGAAAAACAATGGTAGAAGATTTGAAAGTTGGAGTTGTCATTATTGTTTGGCAGGCCCAGGCTGGATTTGAACCTGCCAGCTCCAGTGTATGTGGCCGGCACCCTAGCTGCTTAAGCTTCAGGCACTGAGCCAAGAAGGTTTGAAGGTTACGATTGCATTGTCTGGGAAGGCAATGAAAAGCTGACTTTCAGAAAGCCACAGATTAGGAGAGTGGAGAAGAATATGGTAGTCTGTGTTTGTACTGGCGATGCTAAACTCAGAAAATAGCGGGGACGGTTTATCAGGGACAGGGTTGGCTGAAGGGTTGGCTAGAGCTCTGCTGCCATAGAATAGAGCAGGAGGAGTATGCAGATTTGTCCCAGTGGTGACAGAGCCTTGCAGCCCTGGACTGGTGAGATGCAGATAGAATGTGGGAGTCAGATGAGGTCGCAGAATAGACTCCAGGCGCCCCCTAGCGTCCTTATGTTGCAGCACACTCACCTTTTCCTTCTAGAAACCATTCAAGATATTGTTCCACTGACTTTGGTTTCTCAATCCAATTTATTGAATTCCAGAAAAAATAACTGGATACAATAACATCTTTGGGGTTTCTGATGACATAAATCACCTTAAAGATAAAATGGGAGAAAGAAAATACATTTATTTCCCACTCCTTTTGATCTTCCTATAACTGGAGAAAAAGCCAATTCTTAGAAAATGTCTAACAAAGTCGATGTATTTTTTCAGATGAATTACTTGCTGCATTCATTAATCAAATATAAAATTTAAAGGTCCTTTGAAGTAGTTCTAGTTCTAGGAATATGACAATGGAAAAGGAAAGCATTGTCCGTTCCTCTCTTTGAGGGTATTATAATCTACTTACCCCAGGAAGCAACTGTCGGGTTTTAAAATGTGAGTGATATTTCCTGGTATACAGACAGTGCCATAAAGTGTATGTACATTTTACAAAGGGAAAAAACTGTATTAAAATTGTTATATTCAATAATCACAGAAAACAAAAGATAAATCACCTTGTAATTTCAGAAGTCAAACGTGACTTAATTATTACAAATATAATACAGTTTTTCTTTAATATATGTATACATTTTTTGTCACCCTCTGTATTTGTGTACCGCAGTTTAAAGATCACTAACAGGAGAATGGATTAATACATTATGGTGCGTTCATAGATATATAGAAATAGATATCCATATGTTCACCCAAGACCATGGGTGAATCTCACAGACATCACACTGAGTGGAGGAAGCCAGGCATCCAGTGTTCATACAGCATGACTCTATTTGGATGAAGTTCAAGAACAAGCAAAACTAAGCTATGGTTCTACACGAGTGCGGTATTTACCTCCATGTGTGGGCATTGATTGGGAAGGGGTATGACGGAGTGGAAATATTATGAATTTGGACCTAGATGAAGGTTGGTTACCCAGTGTGCATACATGTAAATATTCATCCAGGTAGTACTAGAAATTACCCCCATCCACACCCCCTCCCCTATTTACATACACCAGGAAGATTATTTGGCATTTGGATGTCTAAATTTTCCTTTAGATTCTGCACCCACTCTCTTTGTGACATTACTCTAGTCCACCCCTCTCTCTAGGCCTCAGTTTCTCCACACAGAGAGAAAATCCGTGGGGCTGCTCACCTCCATAGACAGCTACACACAGTAAGACACAGAGGGTGAAAAAACTGTTCCCAGCACCAGAACTCTGGATTTCAGCGCTGACTGACTTACAAACTTGCTGGTTCCCTCATGAACAATTCTACTTCTTCTCAGCAGCAGGAGTCACTTATGAGTTTGGCTCACTATTTTTTTTAGAATAACAAAAAGTGAATTATATAGTATATAATGCAGTTGTAAGTCCTAGCTAGGCATAAAATAAGCTTTTTTTTTTTTGAGACAGAGTCTCACTCTGTTACCCTGGACAGAGAGCTGTGACATCACCATGACTCACAGCAACCTGAATCTCTTGGGCTCAGGCAATCCTCTTGCTTCAGCCTCTCCAGTTGTTGGGACTACAGATTCCTACCATGGCACCTGGCTAGATTTTCTATTTTGAGTAGGTTCAGTGTCTCACTCTTGCTCAGGATGGTCTCAAACTCCTGAGCCCAAGCAATCCCACCTTCCTCAATCTCCTAGAGTGCTAAGATTATAGGCATGAGACATCACACCCTGCCTACATTATGACATTATGGTTTTCTTTTTTTTTTTTTTTAAGATAGAGTCTCAAGCTGTCAACCTGGGTAGAGTACCATGGTGTCACAGCTTATAGCAACCTCAACGTCTTGGGCTTAAGTGATTCTCTTGCCTCAGTCAGGCCTCCCAAGTAGCTGGGACTACAGGCATCTGCCACAGTGCCCAGCTATTTTTTTGTTGCAGTTGTCTTTGTTGTTTACCAGGCCCAGGACAGGTTTGAACCCACCAGCCTTGGTGTATATGGCTGGCACCATAACCACAAGCACTGTCTAAATTATGGTTTTCTGTGATCTGTTGTTACCATGTCATTTGATTCCTAGACTGTATCTAGATGACATAGTACCTGGAATGGCTTATACCTTGCACTCAAGTGTGGATGCTAGAACAGCCACAGTGAAATCTCTTAATGCAGAATCTCAGGTCCTACCTAGACCTACCAAATGACAAAGCATTTCTACAAGGTCTGTAGGTGGTTATAGGCACATTAACATTTGAAAACTATTGGTGATAGGCATCATGACTTCTGTGCACTGACCTTGGCCTTGGAACTGAAGAAAGACTTGGGGAAGAGATGGATGGGGAGGTGGGAGCTGAGCAAACGTGGGCCCTCCTTCTTATTTGCTGATGCAAACCCGGGCTTAGTCTCTATCCAGGGTGAACGTTCCCAGGTGGGCACAGACTGGACCCACTTGGTATCCCCCTTGGAGCGAATCAGGCAGAGAATCTCAATCAACCAGTTTGTTCCTGGGTAAAGTGAAAGGAGGACAGATGATGATCATACATTTCAATCTGACTTAAACAAGATTATGGCAAAATAGACATAACATAAAATGTACCATTTTTAAACATGCAGGTTAGTAGTGTTATGTATGTTCCTGTTGTTGCACAACCTATCTCCATAAGTTTTTATCTTGCAAAACTGAAACTCTACTTATTAAACAACAATTCCTCATTTACCCCTCCTTCCAGCCCCTGACAACCACCTTTGAACTTGGCCTTCTGTGAACTCTACACCTTATGTAAGTAGAACCTCGCAGTGTGTGCATTTTTGTGACTGGCTCACTTAATTTAGTGTAAAGTCCTCAAGGCTTATCCACACTGCAGCATGCGTCAGCATTTTCTCTCTTTTGAAGGATGAACCACATTCCATTGTATCTATATGCCACGGTTTGTTTATCCCTCATCTGTCAATGGCTGTTTGGGTTGCTGCCACCTCTTGGCCATTTTCTGAAGTCTTTGAATAGGTCCCCATTGCTCTTTGTTTTTCAGGGTCCTGCCAATGGCAGTGTTTTTGGCCTCAATCTGGCCTTATTTGCAGTTCTTACCCTCCATCCCCACTCCCATGGACATATCATGTACATCTTCCAGTCCCTTGGATTTACCAGGCCTTTTTCCAATTCCTAACCATCACCCAGGATGCTTCCTTTATGTGAAAATATCCCTCCTCACTAAGTAGTTTCCCTTCCTTTCTTTCTATTTTAATTTAGATTCTGTTTCTTCTCATAGGACTTCAGGGGTCATCCTTCTCCCTGCTGATACACATGCCTGAATCAGCCTTTGGATTCACTCCTCTGGGTTCTCCTAATACTGTAGATTATCCCCTCTGAACACTCATCTTACTGAGTAATTCCCTGACTAAACCCTTTTCTCTGAATGCACATGGTGCTAGGCAGGGCTGTGTGCCCCCCCCCCCCAAAGCATTGCACATTGTCTAGTTTATAGAAAGTGCAACAGTCAGGCCCAGAGGCAGTGGCTCCTGCCTGTCATCACAGCACTTTGTGAAGCTGAGGTGGGAGGATCACTTTTGAGGCCAGGAGTTCCAGACCAGCCTGAGCAATATAGCAAGACTCCATCTATATAAAAAATAATTATCTTGGCTTGCTGGTGCCTGCCTGTAGTTCCAGATACTTGGGAGGATCTCTTGAGCCCAGGAATTTGAGGATGCGGGAAGCTATGATTAGGCCATTGCACTGCAGCTGGGCCACAGAGTGAGATTGGACTCAGGAAAAAAAAAGAGTGAGGAAGCGCTCCAACCATCTACTGAAGGGACTAGGAACACAGTCACAGCCTTTCTCAGTTCAAGATTTTTTCCTTACCTGATTTGGGGAAAGTCACTGTTACAACATCTTCATCCTTCAGCACAAACTCTTCTTGTACTTTTCTGAGGAGTTCAGGGCTGTAATGGGCCCTCGGGAAAGGTGTCCCTTCATACCAAAAAGTGTCGTCAGACATGATGATCAGCAACTTGTACTTGGTGTGAGGGTTTCAGGTGCAACCAGTGCTGGAGGCTGTGGCACCTGCTGACAGATGAGTTGTGAGTTAACCTCTGCCCAGTTAGTTACGCATTTTGCTGGCAGATATAGAGAAGTAAATACTGTGATTGACAGTCCAAAGGTTAATAATATAGGGCAACTGTGAACACAGAAAACATTCTGGGGAGAGTCTGAGTTACAGTTCATAGGAGTGAACTGGAAATTCAGTAACAAAGGCAAGGGTGTAGAAATCTGTGCAAATCTGAAAGTACTATTTAATAAACTTTATTTTTTATAAGAGTTGCACATCTACAGAAAAATTTCAAAGAGAGTCCAGAGGGTTCCCATAGTCTACAGCTCATTCAGATTACCTTCATTTTCACCTAATGTCTTGTTTGTGCTTCAGAATCCCATCCAGGGAGTCACACAACATATATTGGCCAGCATCACTGTCCACGTGGTCATTTCTAGGGCTTAGAGCACAGATGTCGGGCAGTGTTGCCCTGGGGAAGAGCTCAGATAGAAGGAGGGGAAAGTCTGTCCCCCAGAGCCTGAGGCTGAGCCAGGAGTTGTCTGAAGCCAGCAGGCCTGGTCAGGGCTCCTCAGTCTCTGCCATAATGCACACACCTGGTTCCAACTGAACATTTATTTATTAACATATATACTAACTCTGCATCCTGCATGGCTTTCAGTAATAAGCATCCAGAAATGTATCAAATAGTCACTTTTATGTAACAAGTGAATTTTTATCAGTACCATTCTATTCACATTTCCACACCTCAGGGAAGGTATAACACTTTCTGCTGTGAACAGCTATCACATAAAGTTATCTATTCCCAGTGATGTTATTTGGGTCTGTGTGATCTTTGTTGGGCCAGGAGAATAACAGCATGTGGAAGGGAACACGCCCTCTGAAAAAGCAAACTGGTCGTTCAGAGTTTTGTGATAAGGAACATGTGTTCTGGATTCAGGTAGCCAACATGTAAGTCCTTTTCTTTCTCTATCCAGGGTCAAATCTGGGCTGGGAACACATACTACTATGTGTCCTTGAACCAACAACTTAACCTCTCTGTGGCTCAGCTCCTGCATCTCTAAAATGGGAAAACTAATAGTACCTACTTGGTAAGGTTCTCAGGAACATTCAGATAATTGAACATTTTGTAAAGTCCTTAGAGTCTGGCACAAAGGAAGCTAGAGTGCAGCGGCATGACCATAGCTCACTGCAGCCTCACACTCCTGGGCTCAGGATATTCTCCTGCCTCAGCCTCCCAAATAGCTGGGACTATCAGCATGCACCACTGTGCCCACCCTTTTTTTTCAACAGAGGGGTTGTTGCTCTGTTGCTCTGGAATTCCTGAGCTCAATCAATCCTCCCACCTGGGCCTCCCAGATGCTGGGAATACGGGCCTGAGCCACCATGCCTGGCCAATATATTTCCATTTGATCACAATTATACATTTGCAATTAATCCCCAAAAGTACATGTTGATGTAATGTCTTTGCTTTATAGCTCTCTGGTCTGTAGAATTTGCAGTTGTCATTTGTATTTACTATGTTACTCTCAGAGGAGACTGAAGTTGTTTTTGGAAATCCTTTTCTGTTACATCAATGCTCATGCTTAGAGCAGCTTCACCCAGGGATGCCTGGCTGTCTGGGGTGTGTTTGCATGCATCATGTTCCACACAGACGGGTCGTGGTTCCTACCTCATCAGGGGAGCCAAACATCTCTAGTTGCCCTTCACTGTCTGTTCACTACCCCTAGTTTTCATCTGATCTCTTAACTCCAAGACACTGTCTGTAATGCACAAGGTCAATGCTGGTGTGTTGGCACCACGTGTACTCAAGCCCAACAACTGTGGAGCCAGGGGCAGATATGACAGGCCTTTGTTCAGCTGACGGTGGCCAGTGAGCAGGCATGGGGAGTCCAGAAAGGCCCCTGCACTTCTATATCCAAGGGGAACAATAGTGGCACAAGGCCAAACGGGAGTCCCACAGTAACCATGGAGCAGTCCTCCAAAGGTGGCATCATTGTGCACAGTAACAGGTGTAGTTACGGCTATTGAAGGAAAACATGGCAGCTTCGGGCAGAACCACAGGCCAAGAAGCCCATGGATCTATCTAGCTCCCATTATCTGTATTTATCCGGGTATTTATACCCATATATTATTGCTTATGCCATTTCCAAGGTGTCATTAGAGTAGAAAACAACACTATTGCTTGGTGGACGTTATGTTCACATTTAGCAACTATTCTGAGTTGATTTCTCTTGCCAAAAATATACATTCAAGTCCCAACTCTAGGTACCTGTGACAATGACCTTATTTGCAGATAAGGTATTAGCAGGGCTGACTGAGTTTAGATGAGGTTATTAGGGTGGGTCCTAATCCAGTATGTCCGGCACCCCTATAAGAAGAAAAGAGACACAGAGAGACACACAGAGAGAATGCCCCTTAGGTCAGGAGGGGTGGCTCACACCTGTCATCTCAGTGCTGTGGGAGGCTAAGGCACAAGATTGCTTGAGGCCAGGAGATCCAGACCAGCTTGAATGATGTAGGGAGATAGATCTTGTCTCTATATAAAAACTGCAAAGAAAACTTAGCCAGGCGTGGTGGCACACATCAGCATTTCCAGTTACTTGGGAGGTTAGAAGCAGGTGGATCCCCTGAACACAGAAATTCAAGCTTACAAAGAGCTATAATCATGCCCCTGACCTCCATTCTGGGCAACAGAGTAAGACCCTGACTGTAGAAAAACAAAGAATGAGAGAAAACATGCCAAGTAATGACAGAGGCAGAGACAGGTGTGATGCATTAACATACCAGGGACACCAGGAACTGCCCCCACCGCCAGAACCGAGGGAAAGGCCTGGAGCAGACTCTCCCCTGCGGCTGAAGAGAGAGCAGGGCCCTGCCTACAGCTTAATGCCAGACTTCTGGCCTCCAGAGCTGTGAGAGAAGAAATTTCTGTTGTCTGAAACTCTCCAGTTTGTGGGTCTTAGTTACAGTCACCAAGAAAATGAATCCCCCGCCCTACTAAGCTGTGGCACATGTTTCAGACGTTCAGACCAATAACCAAGTAGTACAGGGTTCATGGGGTGTCCGAGATGTGCCATGTGGGCCACATGCAGATTATCTGAAGACTGTTTTGCTTATCTGTGGTGTCTGATATCACCGAAAGTATGAATAGACTTTTTTTTTTTTTTTTTTTTTTTTGCTAATCAGCTTTCATTAGTGTTTGTATATTTTGGCCGTGGCCCAAGGCAGCTCTTCTTCTTCCAATGAGATACAGAAAATAAAAAAGGTCATATGTCCATACCTGCTTTCCAAATTTTTGAACAAATTGATTATCACTAAACAAATGCAAGATCCTTTCCTATATTCCAAAATTTGAATTGCTGGGTGCTAGAGGCAGTGATTAGATTTCAGCACCTCCTATCTGAAGACCCTGGTCCCAAGGGAACATCTCCCAGGTCTGCTTGTGAAAGGCCCCTCCCTGGCCCACAAGGGAGTGGTGCTTCCAGGCTCCACACACCAGATGTGGGAGAGATCTCGGGAGTTCATTCTGCCAAATAGGCCAGTATCCATTTGGAGCCAGCCGGGGGTGCAGTGGTGCAATCATACCTCACTGTAACCGCAAAATCCTGGGCTCAAATGATCCTCTTGCCCTGGTCTCAGGGTGGCTGGGACCACTGGCTTGTGCCACTGGCCTTGGCTAATCTTTTTTTACTTTTGCAGAGACAGGGCCTCACCATTTTGCCCAACCTGCTCTGAAACTCCTGGGTTCAAGCACTCAAATTGTGTTTGGACACACTCTTGGATAATACTTTATTATTCTGTAGCATTGTATATGTTTGAAACACTACAAACATTTCAAACTATCTGGGATGCCATGACATGATTAGGGGGGACATGGTGATTTTTAAGAAGGAAGTAGTCAAATATACAAAGATTTGATAACTCAAGGTTCCAGGATGAAATAGTAGGTTTTATGCAATGGCCCCCAGTCATGCCCATGTACAGGGACAGAAGAACAAACACCACTATCCCCAAAGGATCCAGAACTATCTCAGACATTATTCCCAGGGGAACAGCTCCCGAGGAAGATCTGCCATCTTCTCCTGGAATAGTTTATCAAAGGCTTCAGCTTGGGCCACTGTGAAGTGATTTTTCCAGTCCCCAGTTATGCCTGGAAAATATGAAACAGAAACTCAGGTCAGGTGGTGGGGTCAGACCCCAACGTGCCTCCTCCTTGGTCTGTTCCTAACTGTCCACCGTCATGGATGTTGTGGCTAATACAGCACAAAGACCTGTGGTCCACTGGTGGGCCCTTGTGCCTCCTGACAGCTCACCTGCTTGCCTGGAGGTGACTTACCTTCCCCTCTCTCCCAGCCCCTCCTGTGCACAGTCCCTCCACAGTCAAGCCCACTATGTCTGCTGACACACCCAGAATTGAGCCAATTCCCACCACCCCACCTTCTACCACCCCGACCGGAGCCAACATCATTTCTCTCCTGCATTATGGTGACAGTAAGACTGTAAGCAGTCCCTCTGCTTGGGACTCATCTCCCATAACAGTCCATCTCAGACAGCAGCTCCCTTGATCCCTTGACAAAGGAAGACACATCCTACTCCTTTCCTGTTCAAGTTCAAAGACTCTTAGTTTCACACAGACAAGTGTATTAGGTGCTTGTAAGGCTCCCAGTGATCCATGTCCCTGTGGCTTCTCTGACTCCATCCCCTGTGACGACCCATTTGTTCACTGTGCTCCATCACATTGGGGCTTGTGATTCCGCCTCACAGATGGCAGGTGTCCCACTGCTCAGACCACATGTGTTTCCTGAGTCTTCTCCCTGCAATGCTGCTCTCCCAGGTGTGTCTGTGTCCTGCCTCTTTGCCTTTTCCAGTCCTGGCTCCAGGACAGTCTTCTCAGTGAGGTTCTCTCAGCCCCCAATATAGAACTGCCAGTCCCCATCCTGCTGTATTTTCCTTCACTACACTTCCCTGTAATAGGGGCTCTATGCATTTCTCTTCTGAGGTGCAGGGGTAGAACATGTATCCTTGATGTAAAATATATAAATTTTAGACTGTCACAACTTTTATTTTAAATTGTGATAGAGTTAGTGTTTTGAAGAGAGACAGACATAGAGTATCAGTAAATTCTTGCTGAAAGTATGAAAAAAAGAATTACAAAATGTACTGAGTACAGGAATTTTCACCTGTAATACTGTTACTAGGGAGGCCCAGGTGGGATGATTGCTTGATCCAAGGAGTCAGACCATCTTGGGCAACCTCAGGAGAGCCCTGTCTCTACTAAAAGTAAGAAAAACCTGGCTCGGTGCCAACTCCAGTGGTAGAGCACTGATGGGTATGAACCTGGCCTTGGCCTGCTAAATAGCAATGACAACTACAACCAAAAAATACCTGGTGTTGTGGTGGGTGCCTGTACCGTGTTTCCCCGAAAATAAAACACTGTCTTATATTTATTTTTTCTCAAGAAGACACACTAGGGCTTATTTTCAGGGGATGTCTTATTTTTATTAAGTATAATACAACAATCTACATTTATTCAAATACAATTAAGTCATCTTCTTCTGGAACCTGACAGGGGGAGCCGACCTTATTGGTGAGGCTGGTGCTAGTGATGCATGAACTCCTTTCCCCTAGCCATTCGCATGTGCACAATAGGATGCCTGCAACTGCGGTTACCACACACACACCCGCACAAGTGCGAACAACTGGGAGAAAGGAGCTGTGGCAGATAAAAGGTATTCCAGTCCTCCTTACCACTCAAGGCCAAAATGCATGGTGTGGCTATGCAGATATGCTACATAGCCCTTCCCATCACTAGGTCTTATTATCGGGGTAGGGCTTATATTTAATGCATAGAAATCCTGCTAGAGCTTATTTTGGGGGTAGGTCTTATTTTTGGGGAAAAGCAATAGTCTCACCTACTTGGGAGCCTGAGGCAAGAGAATCGCTTAAGCCCCAGAGTTTGAGGTGCTGTGAGGTGTGATGCCACAGCACTCTACCAAGGGCAACACAGTGAGACTCTGCCTTTAAAATAAAATATAGTAAAATAAAACAAAATAAAATAAAAATAAGAAAAAACAGATAGATGGTGTGGCACCTATAGCTCATAAGGCGCCAGCCACATAAACCACAGCTGATGAGTTCAAATCTAGCCCAGGCCTGCCAAACGATGACAACTACAATTCACAAATAGCAGGGCATTGTGGTGGGTGCCTATGGTCCCAGTTACTTGGAAGGCTGAAGCAAGAGAATCACTTAAACCCAAGAGTTTGAGGTTGCTGTGAGCTCCAACACCATGGCACTCTATTCAGGGAGGTAACTCGAGGCTCTGTCTCAAAAAAAAAAAAAAGAAAGAAAGAAAGAAAAATCAGATGGGCCCAGTGGTACATGCCAGTAATTCCAGCTACTCGGGCGGCTGAGGTGGGAGGATTACTTGGTTCCAGGATTTGAGGCTAAAGTGAGTTAAGATCACACCACTGCATTCCATTCTGGGTGACAGTGCAAGACTGACTCAAAAAAGGAAGAAAAGAAATCCCTAAAATTATCTCCATTTCACATGTGAGGAGTAAAAAAAAAAAAAAAAGACCTTGCGAAGTTGCATTTTAAAGTGATGGATTTGGATTTGATGCCAAAGATTTATATGCCAGAAGTAATGCTCTTAATTACACGTTATCTTATTATTTGATATAGCATACAAATTAATATTTACATATATCAATATATTAAATAGATTAACAAAGAACAATACATAATTTTATATAAGCTGGTAATAGATAGATGTAAATGACATATTAATGTAGTAGAAATGACAGAGCAGAGGATCTAACATGTAACTGGGGCCCTGTAAACATCCATTTTTCTCCTGTGTCATCTTTGTGTGCGTACATGCGTGTGTCCACATGTCTTCTAAGGATGCAGTCATTTGGGTTAGGGCTCATTCTATAAGCCTCATTATGACTTAATTACTTCTCTTGAGAGACTTTACATTCCAATATTATTTCATTCGGAAGTACACGACGTTAAGACTTCAACATATGAATTTGGGGGACCCAGTTCAGCTCATATCACTCTGCCTTCTGCGCCCACGTCACATAGGCATAATTCCTGCATCCTCTCCAGCAGCCCAAAAGGCTTAACCTATCCCTGCATCAACTCTATCTTCTGTAAATATCACCTAAATCTCACCAAAACATGAGTGAGACTTGACATATGATTCATTCTGAGGCAAAATTCTTCTCTAGTTGCTAAGGTGTGAAACCAGACCTGCTACCTACAGTCAAAATGCAATTGTGGGACACGTGTAAGATGGATCTTCTCATTCCATAAGAGGTATATTTGAAAGAAGAAGGAGGTCATGAGACCCCAGACATCCAAAACCCAGCAGGGACAATTCCATTAGATGTTAGAGCTCAAGACTGATCTTCTTGACTCTGTCCTCCTGGCCAACTGGGACAGCACAAGCCTTGACCTGCTCAATGTCCTTTGATGCTTTAGAAGCATTTAATTATTTTCTTTGATGGATCACCATTCCAGATACATTTGAAGTGTTGCATTTTGGAATAAAAATGAATTCTTGAACTCCTTGAAAAAGATATTTCCATTTGTCTTGAGCTCAAGGGTAGGGACCTGGGTAAGCTTTAACCACAGGGGGCCTTAAAATGTCTGATAGCCAAGTCTCTCCTGTCTGCTTTTCCCAGCTGAGTCAATCCTTCATTCATGCCTTTGTTAGGGATAGTTCTCTACACTAGCTCTCCAGTTGGTAGCCCCCATGTGAACATCCCAATTCCATCCTCCTTGCCCAGCTCCATCATGGCTTACAAGCCTGGCAGGAGGACCTAATTAACCTGGTCACTGTTTGTACAATGGACATCTTCCTGTGTCAGATTTTCAGCAGAGAGAATCTAAATGATTTCTCATCAGTTGGGTAACCATCCCAGGATGGATCAAGTTTCTCTGAGGGCCTGCAGTCCGCACCAGCACCATGAGAAGAGACCCCCTGAGGAGGGGACAGGAGAAATGCTCTGTGGGAGGAGCAGTTGCAGTTGACACACTCAAACACCCCTCATCTCAACTGCTACCCCTGTTGAAATCACAAGGAAGCCCTCCATGTATTCTGAGACATTTGAAAACCAGACCATTTTCTCTTACCTTTTCTCATAAGTGGGTTTTTGTCAACTGAACAAACATCACCCAGCATGGAGTAATCACATATCTTGTTTTCTTTCATGACCTCAAAGGAGCTGTTCTTGAGGATTAGACTGAGTTCTTCTGGCTCTACCTTCTTACCCAGGAACTGACAGATCTTCTCCACAGTCCTTTTTGTGTCCTAAAAGAAGGAAAAACATGAGAAAGGATATGAGAGTGAAAGGCACCAGAGAAACTAGGATGAGAAGCAGGACGAGGATGAGGAAGGGGAAGAAGAAGAGAGAAACAGGACACGGAAGGGAGAAGTGATGGAGTTGGACGCAACCAGGAGAAAGCAAGAGGAACAGGTAAAGAAGAGAGAGCAGGACGTGTGTGAACGATGCCAGGATCCTGATGGATTTCTCATACAGTTGAGTTAGGAGAACTTAGCAGTAAAAGACAGGGCCTCGGGTTTCTAGGGAGACTTTGAGAAGGGCTCCTGGACAATGATTAGAATTAAGCAAGGAGAGGTTGTGGGAGAACTTGACAAAGATATAAGGAATTGATTTAAAATATTCTCTGGGCCATGAAACAATACTATTCCTCACAACTCACAACTGAATCACATACAGAGTTTCACAACATCTTCTCATGGATTATCTTAACAATTCACTCTTGGACAGGATCCTGGAAGATTATGCTAGGAAAATAGCTTTTTATACCAGAAAGACTTTTCTGTGAATTATAGACCATTCTCTTAGAGCTATAATGCTTTAAAAGTTTCCTTTATTTCACAAGGCCTGAATGCCATCTCACAAGAAGACACATAATTGTGGAAATAGCTAAAATTAAAGTACAGTGTATGGGCTCAGTGCCTGTAGCTCAAGCGGCTAAGGCGCCAGCCACATACACCTGAGCTGGCAGGTTCAAATCCAGCCTGGGCTTGCCAAACAACAATGATGGCTGCAACCAAAAAATAGCCAGACATTGTGGCAGACACCTGTGGTCCCAGTTACTTGGGAGACAGAGTCAGGAGAATCGCTTCAGCCCAGGAGTTGGAGGTTGCTGTGAGCTGTGGTGCCACGGCACTCTACCCAGGGTGGCAGCTTGAGGCTCTGTCAAATAAAAAAAAAAAGTTCAGTGTATGAATTTAAAGGAAAATTCCAAGAAGGTATGGAATCATGGACCTGAGGCAGTTTTATGTGTTAAGAAAGGCTTTCCAATTAAAATGCATTCATGCTGAGGCCATTGGGGAACAGACAGAGGTGGGCAGAGGAAGGGGATGGGAAGTACGTGTCTCAGGTGGAAGCAGCATCCAGTGTTCATGTTACTTTCTCTTTTCTCCAGGATACCACAATAGGCCACTGGTATCCTAGAGAAAAGATGGTCTCCTCACCCTTCCTTGTCCTGAGCATCTGAATCCTCAGGTCATGGAATAACCCTTCAGATGTTTGAAGATAAACTAAAGAACAATATTGGGGAAAAGGCTGAATCTTGGGAAGGGGCAACCAGAAGTAGGGCAATGAAGACCACGAAATAATCCCACTCTTCCTCGCTCTTGTCGAGGCTAAATTTTGACTGAGGAGGCTGGAACGGAGACACAGAGAACTGCAGGGACATCAGAGGAAGAGAAGGTGGTGGAGAGAGGGTGTGCACTGACTACTAAAATGACGGTTACCCGTTTCAGCTCTTCATAACTCAGCAGCAGGAAGTTCCCCCTCTCTCTCATGGACACCCAGCCACGAACGTGGTCAAACCATGACCCATATGGCACTGCATGGGGGGAGGAAGAGAGAGAGATAATTAATTTAATTAACTAATGTCACTGCCCACTTGCTTTATTAAGATACATAGTTGAGAAACAAAACGTCTATATTTATAGCTTATAATGTTATGTTCTGATTTATGTATGCATTGTGCAGTGATATCATCACCTCTCATAATTATTATTTTTTTATGGTGAGGAACATTTCAGATCTATTCACTTAGCAGTTTTGACACATATAACATATATAATACAGCATTTGTGGGGGGGGAGACAGAGTTTCACTTTATTGCCCTCAGTACAGTGCTGTGGCGTCACAGCTCACAGCAGCCTCCAGCTCTTGGGCTTAGGTGACTCTCTTCCCTCAGCCTCCCAAGTAGCTGGGACTACAGGCGCCCACCACAATGCCCAGCTATTTTTTTGTTGCAGTTTGGCCGGGGCCGGGTTTGAACCAACCACCCTTGGTATATGGGGCCAGCGCCTTACTCACTGAGCCACAGGCACCTCCCAGTATTTTTTTTATTTTTGAGAGGGAGAGAGAGTCTCACTATGTTGCCCTTGGTAGAGTGTCATGGTGTCACAGCTCACAGCAATCTCCAACTCTTGGGCTTAAGTGATTCTCTTGCCTCAGCCTCCGAAGTAGCTGGGACTACAGGCGCCCACCACAATGCCCGACTATTTTTTTGTTTTGTAGTTGTCATTGTTGTTTGACAGGTCCAGGCTGGGCTCGAACCCTCCAGCTCAGTGTATGTGGCTGGCACCCTAACCTCTTGAGCTACAGGCGCCAAGCCTATAATACAGTATTATTAACTATAGTCAACATGCTCTGCCATAGTTCTCTGAAACTCATTCACCTTGTCTAACTGAACCTTTGTACACTTTTACCAACATCTCCCTGATCCCACCACCCCAAATATTTGTGTATACTGAGTTATGTATGTATATATGCATTTCAATATATGTACAAATAGCCTTGATACACATAAGAACCCATGAACCCATTTCCTAGCTTCAACCATTACTGGTAGATTATTATCATTATTTTTTACATAGAAGAGGATATATATAGAAAATATAGAGAAGATTATTATTTTTCATATAGAGAATTGTTATTTTTGTTTGTTTGTTTGTTTGTTTAAGACAGAGCCTCAAGCTGTCCCCCTGGGTAGAGTGCCATGGCATCACAGCTCACAGCAACCTCCAACTCCTGGGCTCAAGCGAGTCTCCTGCCTCCGCCTCCCAAGTAGCTGGGAACCACAGGTGCCCACCACAATGCCTGGCTATTTTTTGGTTGCAGCCGTCATTGTTCTTTGGTGGGCCCAGGCTGGATTCGAACCTGCCACCTTAGGTGTATGTGGCTGGCGCCTTAGCCACTTAAGCCACAGGCACCGAGCCGAGAATTGTTATTAGTATTATTTTTTATTATTTTGCCCAAGGTGCTTTACCAGAAGCAGCGTGTCCTGACGTATTATTTTGAATACATCTTATTTCATCTGTTTCCCCCCTCCTTCAAATTGCTTTATTTTAGAAAACTCCCACACATCACCACATTTGATCTGTACAGACTTCAGTGTATCTCTCTAGACTAACATGTCACTGTCAATTACATTATCACACCAAACCGACACACACACACAATGCTTCTCTACTACCTTCTAATACAGAATCAATGTTAAGTTTTCCTAGATTATCTCAATCCTACTCCATGGTTTGAGGGGGCCAGGTGATCAAGAAAGATACAAGTCACACAGACACTGGATGGAGCAGTGCTTTACTCACATTGAGAGACCAGCCTCAGCAGTGAGCACTGGGCAATCAGACATGGCTCCAGGCAAATCCTATTTCCTGGAATCTATTTTCCTTTTCTTAGAGCTGGTCTCAGGCTGGAGTGCAGTGGTGTGATCATAGTGTAACCTTGAACTGCCAGTCTCAAGCCATGTAAGCTTTTCTTAGTCTTTTTCATTCTGTTTTCTTTTTCCTTTTTTGGCTGTGTATTTGCAGGTCACTTGTCTTTGAAAACTCAGGTTCTTTCTTCTGCTTTATTATTTCTGCTGTTGATGCTCTCAGTTGCATATTTATTTTTTCACTGATTTTCCCCTCTAAAATTTCTTTTCTTTTAAAAAAATAATTTCAGGGGAGGCATCTGTGGCTCAAAGGAGTAAGGCACCAGCCCCATATGCCAGAGGTGGCGGGTTCAAACCCAACTCCAGCCAAAAACTGCAAAAAAAATAATAATGATATAAAATAAAAATAAAATAATAAAAAATAATTTCAGTCTTTCTATTTAATATCTTATTCTGGTCATTTGTGGTTTTCTTCTTTTGTTGATTTGTTTTTCCATTTTCTCTTGATATTTGCTGAGCTTACTTCCAGCAATGATGTTGAATTATTTGTCAGGTGACCATTCATCTGCTTTGGTTTGGGGCCAGCTATTCCTGCTTGATACGTTCCTTGGTGTTGTCATATTTTCCTAATTCTTGTTGTTCTTTATGGCAATGCACTATTGCCTGTGCATTTGAAATAAAAGGTCTTATTTCCATTTTTGCAGATTAGATTTGTCTGGGAAACCTTTTCACTGGTCAGCCCATCCAGATACTGTGGGAAGGCTCTTTGGTATGGTATGTAAGCCCATTTGATTTTTAACTTTTTTTCCTTTCTGATACAGAGTCTCACTTTCTCACTCTTGGTAGAGTGCTGTGGCATCATAGCTCACAGCAAACTCAACTCTTGGGCTCAAGCAATCCCATTGCCTCAGTCTCCTGAGTGGCTGGAATTACAGGACCCCAGCACATTGTCTGGTTATTTTTAGAGATGGGGCCTTGCTCTTACTCAGGGTGGTCTTGAACCCCAGAGCTACGCAATCCACCTACCTAGGCCTCCCACACTGATAGGATTACAGGCATACTCCACTGTGCCGCGCCCTCATTTTTAACTTTAAATTCACAAAGTGTTGAGGGAAACATGGGATCAGGAAGGTAATCGCCTTCACTGACTCCTACACATAGTAATTATGAGTCATTCCTTTGATTTTCCCTTTCCCAATACATCGGTTTGTGTTGCCCATAGTCTGCCTTGGGAGGTAAACCACACAGTCTATCAAACCATGGACTCGGAATCTTTTGCAAGAGGGATTGCATGGTTCAAGGTTCCCATAGCATGGGCAACGAGAAGGTTAAAAGGTCCAGGGGGTAAGTGCCCTTGTTCCTACTGACTCTTTACATTGTTAGGGAGGAAATGTATTCAGAGGAGGGAATCCCTGAGGCCCTGTTTTCATGTGTGATCCAAAGCTCTGCCCTAAGGCCCAGGGTCCCTATCAGGAACCCATGTTCCCTGGGTTTAAGAACAACATTTCCTGGAAGTTAAATTCCCCAGGTTTCTTTACCTGTACAGGGAATAGTGGGGAACTTACTCCTGTACATGGGTAGAGACTACTCAGAATATTTATGTTAGTTGATAACAATAAAGATTTGATTGTGTGGCTCAGCGCCTGTAGCTCAAGTGGCTAAGGCGCCAGCCACATACACCTAAGGTGCCAGGTTCGAATCCAGCCCGGGCTTGCCAAACAACAATGATGGCTGCAACCAAAAAATAGCCGGCATTTCGGATTGTGTGTGAAAACCCCACACTGTACCCCAGAAGTGCACATAGTTAATGTACATAGTTACCATTCAATAAAAAATTAAAAAAAATATATAGCCAGGCATTGTGGTGCATGCCTATAGTCCCAGCTACTTGGGAGGTGGAGGCAGGAGACTTGCTTGAGCCCAGGAGTTGGAGGTTGCTGTGAGCTGTGATGCCACAGCACTCTACCCAAGGGGATAGCTTGAGGCTCTGTCTAAAAAAAAAAAAAAAGATTTGATTGCATAAGAAAGAAAGAGGTCTGTGCATGGGTTTTAAAGCACAGAGAGCAAGTGATTGGGATAGTGGCGAGGGTTACAGGATGTGTCTTCATTGTTCATCACTATTGACTGGACGTCACAAGATTTCTGGTGACAGCTGAAGCACAATCCAGCCTTCTTTATGTACCAAATACCAAGTTCAAAGATAGCACTGAGAAAGGAAGTGTTCTCTTCTTGTCTGGGCTCCCATCATGTTGTTTCACTATTGATTATCTTCTAAAAGAGTAACCTGAAGCAAGGCGGGATATATGCCTGCAGAGCTCAGGTAGGATCAATATCAAATATGGCTGCCAGGCCTTGAAGATTGGACTTTATGGTGAGGGTAAGCAATTCTAGGGATGGCAATTAAGACAAACATACTGTCCAGTGAATAATAGATAGCTATAATGTAGTATAGAAGGGCAAACTGTATGTAGGTAAGAACACTGATAATACATTTTACTACTATTATTATTTCTTTTTTTCTGTTTTATTCTTTATCAATCTGTATTCCATTTATGGGACAGAGCCTCACTCTGAGGCCTGGGCAGGGGTCTGGCTCAAGGAGTCGTTGATCCCTGGACTAAGGGGTCTTTCTAGTGTGGGCCTTTGGGAGGATGCTATTGTTGGGTCCCTATTGTAACATACTGATGCTTTTTATTCTTCTCTATTTGGTGGAGGTGGGGTCCTGTCTTTACTCAGGCTGGTAAGGAGCTACTGACCTCAATGCACCCACCTAACCCAGCCACCAGTGGTCAGAAATTTGGGGTATGGGTCAAACCACCATATTGGACACTACTATTACTCCTATCTCTCTCTTTCTATTGTTTTCTTCTTTCTGACAGTCTTTCCTTTTACTCCCCTTTTCTTATTCTTTTCTCCTTTTCTATCTTTTCTCCCTTCTTGCTCAGCACTCTTCTCTTCCTGTTCATCTTTTACCTAAGCACAGAGACAAGATAATTTAAAGGGAAGGAAGAAGTGAAAGGAAAAAGTAGCAGAAGGAAGCAGACAAAATGAAACCATTTATGGAAAGGCACCAACAGAAAAATCCTGGCAACATGGAAAACCAGAACAGAGCAACCCCCCAAGGGATCACAAGGTATTAGGCAGCTACCACAGAGGATTCCACC